ATGATGTAACATCTCCATTTTGGCAGGCGGGCAAACTGTCTGGGTCCCGCTACATCAGGAGACGCGTCTCTTGACTTTTTGAACTCCGTTGGCTTCTCCACACGACGCCAGCCGTGTAAGCGCATCGTATATCACGGGTGAGAGGGAAACGGTGGCATTGCCATTGATAGCGTTTATGCTTCGCCGCCTCACCGACATAATGAGCACATTATCTGCGCGCTCTAGGACTGCCGCCCTCGCCCCCGCACTTTAAATATTCATGTCCTATGTGTATGGAGAAAAAAAAAGGTATGAGACAGTTGGTGAAGAAAGACTGCACAATGACTGCATCGTGTTTTTCTTCATCAGTGCATCTGTAACAACTCAGAATATGTGTTCATTTTCAATATTTAAATCTGCTTTACCGTAATGCATTAGCGGAAATATATAGACAGCTGTCATTTTGGAGCTTCAGCACCATGGACAGCTCTAATTATCTTTCCGATATAAAATCTGACATGATTCTGCCTTTCTCCAGTTTGTTGCATAAAGCTGTACTTTGTACAACAAGACAAACAAGAAGCAATGATTGGTGAATGGTAAATGGATTGTGATTGGTTCGAAGACATTTTTTTTTTTTCATACTTTGTGACATTTTGTCACATTTGAAAGGAAACATTTAAATAGACATGAAAGATGTAAGCTTTTTTAAAGTACACTCTCAGAAATAAAGGCACAAAAGCTGTCACTGGGGTGGTACCTTTTCAAAAGGTACACTTCTGTTCCTATTAGGTTCTAATGGGTAAACTTTAAGTATTAATATGTACCAAAGGTTAGGTTTAGGTACTAAAATGGACCCTTTAGGTACAAACATGTACCTTTTGAAAAGGTACCGCCCCAGTGACAGCTTTTGTACCTTTATTTCTGAGAGTGTACTGAATGCCTCTTTGTAACTGCTTGTGTAACCATGGAAATAACACTTATTGACTGAAGAAGGAAGAGTGTGTGTTAAAATGAACATAACCTGTCATGTGAGGACATGCACTTTTCTAAGCATTCCTGACCGCAAAACATATCCCAAGGTTAGTCATAATGAGCAGGCAAACAACTACTTGAAGAGTTTGTGGAATTTCTACAAAAATGCAATTTCCATCATTCAGAGCCTCATAATAGATGCACAACCTTGAACATGACTTATGGTGTTGCAAAAATTGCTAACAAATGCTCTGAGAGCATTTAAAATGTTGAGGATTTTTTTTAATTATTATTATTGTTTAATCACATCTCTATATATGTTTCTCCAAGTTGAAGGCAGGGAGCAAAAACCAATTATATTTTCTTAATTATTCACAACTTTAGGCTTAAATAACTGTGAATGTGTTTTATTGGCACATCCTGTATTACACATTAAATGGCACAGACAGTCACCACACTACATGAAAAAATCTATGTTTTACTAAGTTCAAAGTTTAGAAAAATGCCATTAAGTCTGTGGTATATATATATATATATATATATATATATATATGAGTGATTCTATAATTGCAGGTACATTTGGTGTCTGAAGTCATTATTTTTTTCTGCTTTTTTCAAATGGTTATATTTTTAATTATTTTAATACTGTGTTACTCGTTGTTATGAATTACAAGATGTTACAGGCCATAACAATATAATATTTTTTTTGCAAAAAGTGCATAACAATATAATATTTTTTGCAAAAAGTGTCTTAAATAGCTGAAAACCATGATTTCTTGTTGTCCGAATTAGTCAGTGCATTTTTTCCATCATGTATCATTGCGTAATCAAAATATTTTATTGTACTTTTCTTTTTGTAATATTTCATTCATTTTATTTATAAAAGCCCTAAAGAGTCATTTACCTAATTCTCCAACATTCTTTTTTTTTTAAATAACTTTTTTCTTATAAAAATGTATGTCTGTAAATCTTGCGTCAACTCTGTTACCATACCATACTTTGCCTTTAAATTAGTGGAATTATCTCCCACAACTATGTAAGATACAGGAAATGATGTCACTTTCCCTCACTGTTAAGATCTGAAGCACTGAAAAGTCTATGTGCTCTCTCTAAGAAAATATTTTAATCTTTATAAAATAACTCTTACACCAAGAGTTATTTTATAAAGTGTCAAATCTGTTACCACAATATCAAAAGGAAAACAGATTTTTTCATTGATCACACTTTGTGTTATTTAAAAGTCTTTTAATCATGATTTCATTAGTGCCATGTGCTCTTAGCATTTATGCTAGCAAGTGGAGTTTTTGGCAAAAAATAAAGAAAATTGTCTATTCTGTTACTGTCAAACTCTGTTACCAAGGTAGAGTAACAATACTGACAATGCGGTAACAGAATTGACAGTCCATCGGACAATTCTGTCAATTCTGTTACTTTACAATTCTGTTACTTAAAGGGTCAACTCTGTTTATGAACTATTTTCACAAAAAACAATACATTTGTTGTTTAAAATCCTAATAAACATTATTGATTTATTTTTGCACCCTTATAATATTTCAACAACATTTCTTTTTTTTATCTGGATATTGTATATAATACATTTTCAGATGAAAAATATTTGCTCCAAGTGGACGGTTCTGTGAAGACATAGGTATTTTTTTAGTTTTAAAGGTATGCATAGGTGAAATACTATCTCAGTTTCAAGTGATGGAATGTAAGGACTGTTTGTCTAATGAAACAAGAAGGATTTTTCCTGTTATGATTTATTGTTATTTCTACACATTGGCTAATTTGTCCGTAACAGAGTTGAAAAACAATACCATAAAGACATCTGTTTTTTCATTAAAAGTATTTTTTTTTTTTTTTTTTTTTTTTTTTTTATGAAAATGAAAATGAAAATGAAAAGCAATGTTCAGATCTTTTAAACTGGTTTTATAGTTTGGAAAAAACGAATATCTGCAGGACATTAAAATAACGCATTTGACATGATTTATAATGATTTAAGAGCATATACAATGTGTAAATGCTGTGAAGATCAGCCGCGCATGCGCATTGTGCGTGCTCCTGCAAACGTAAACTTTGGCTGATGAAGACACGAAAACAAGCAACAAGGATCGATTACTCAACATTCGATAGTAGCCTAATTTATTTGACCTATTTTATATTAAAAACAATAAGATACATTTGCACAGATGCATCGTTTTGCTTGGCAAGCGCCTTAAAAACCGACTATGAAAATGAATAGGGTATAATATGAGGGAAGTCATTTAAATGAGTTTTAATAGCGACGTATCTGCAATATACTTTGCCTGTGGCATTTTAATGTTCCGTTGCCATTGTGATTTATATATAATTAGGCAGACTCGTTAAATCCTCTTTATTGACTTTGCGTTTATTGACATATTTATTGCTGTCGCCAATATTTCAGCATATCCGCTTGATTTAATCGCAGTAAATGTAACGATTCTGTACAGCTCTATTTGCATAAACGTGTGCTTAAAAGACATTGGGTTTGGTCGTGTAGATATATAAGAAAATAACCAAAGTGTTTTGAATTTCACGGAAGCAGATTACGTCGTATGATTGATATTCGCTGCGGAAGTACAGTATTGTCATAAACATGCAGTGGTGGGTTGAGTCATTCTCATCTACACTTTGTCATACTGTAGATGGTTATGTCTCTAATAAGCGCAATGTAGACATATGTGATATTCCTCGATTCCCTAAACGCACAGACCAGTTAGTGTGCAAAACATGGACTTCTGTAAAGGGCTTTAAGGGACTTTTGGAATTAGTAGGCTAAATTTCAGTCTCAGAGGTCTTTTGAAGTTGTTTTACCGATTAGACAATCAGCTTAGACTTCTTAAGGGTTTGTGATATGTGAATCCACTTTATGATAAATAATGACCGATTTTATGTTCGCTGATATAATTGTCTGATAATGACTGCGGTCTACTGTTGTTGCTATGGCTACCTCCTCGGTCCAACTCCATTTCTTTTTTTTTTTTTTTTTTTTTAGTTACAGAAACGTGTGAAAATGCTGTTGAAGTATATATATGTTTATATGTAAAAACTTTGTAGTTTTTGTTTTCTTCCACCACCACCACCACCACCAAAAACTCGTGCCCTGGCTTGCATATGAACGACTAATCTGCAAATGATTAATGAACAGATTCTCTTTGGAATTGGAAGATATGCCAATTTGCATTATTCTCTTTTTAAGCCTCTGTGTTCATTAATCTGATCTTCAGTTTTAGCTAATGACGCATTTATAGTGCCTCCTGAGTATTCAGAATATGAAGGGCTTGATTAAACTTAATTATAGAGTAAATAAAATCTTTGTTTAAACTGCATTTTAAACAAAAACTAAGGGTGTATATATAGTTTAGGATATAGTTTAGTGTACAGTTAAATAGTATCATTGGGTATTACTTTGAGCGAATCTATGGAATATTGCATGCAAACTATAGTGTGTATAAATGTATTAATTACTAATAGTATGATGCTCTTGAGAGTGTGGATGACAGGTAGTGGAGTGTTATGTCTCTGAGAGTGTGCGATTTATCAGTGGGTGGTTTTTCACTTCGAAGAAAACATCAACTATAGTAGGCATGGATACTACTGACATTCAAAAAGAGTAAAAACTGCAATTATTAAATCTGTGTGTGGAAATGAATAAACAAAGTGATAGGTTCACCATTGACTAGATGGATTTTTAATCAAAGTTGTCTGTCTATGCAATAAAATTAAATTAATTTGGTGCTACATGACTAGAGAGAACAGAGACAAAGGCTGTGGTGAAAAAAATACACTATTAGCCTCTATTTGTTCTAAGACTGTGAAAAGGTTGAAAAAAATCAATAGATTTTTTTTTTTAAGGCTTCGATGAATTGTGGTTACGTTGAGAAATACAGTAAACTGTTGTATAACTCATAATTATGACAATTAAAAGCTGAGAAGGTGAAGAACTGCTTTCTTCAATATGTTTGGATATGGATGTTTTGTGTGTTTCCTGTAATGATGTGTGATTGTAATCACAGGTCTGAGAGATGGCCTCTTGCTCCGAGTTTTGTGGGTCCGGTCACGCGGTCAGCTCCGGCTGTCATGTTTTCGTAGTGCGTTCTTATTTGCACCACTTCTACGAGGAGTGCACAGCCTCAATGAGGGAGCAGCAGGAGGACTTTCAGGGCCAGAGTTCACTGCTGCGGTGGAGCTCAAGCTTCTGGAAGGTATCAGAGGGAACCGTTCAGGTGTGTTTAGGGTTAGAGCTAAACTCTGCAGGACAGTGGCCCTCCAGGAACAGGTTTGGATACCCTTGACATAGAAGAACCTTTTTGGTTTCTTAAAAGAACCTTTTTTTTTTTTCTTAGTGTAAAGAACATTTTAAGAATCTAAAGAACCTTTTTTTTACTATACACTCTTAAAAATAAAGGTTCCAAAAAGCGGTTTTCACAGCGATGCCGTAGAAGAACCATTTTTGGTTCCCAAAAGAACCTTTCAGTGAACAGTTCTTAAAAGAACCATTTTATTTTTCTTGGTGTGAAGAACATTTTAATCATCTGAAGAACCTTTTTCCACTATAAAGGATCTTTTGTGGAATGGAAAGGTTCCATGGATGTTAAAGGTTCTTCACAGAACCATCAATGCAAATGAAGAATCTTTATTTTTAAGATTGAAATTTTGTTGTGTTAAAACAAGGGTCCAAAGTCCTCAGTTATATGTTGTTTTAACGATTGGCATGTTTGCTTGAGTTCAAAAACAAATTCGATTGATTCCACTTTGCCCCCTCTGGCCGTTCTGAAGGTGTTATGATGTTTTGAAGCCTGGTACATTTTTAAAACACTTATGCTATTAAAATGAATACCACTGAAGATATTTATTGCCTAAAATATGCATAATCAGCAGCAGTTCACTTTCAGATTCACATCACCAACTGTCAATCGCATCAAGCAGAAGGAAGAGTCTTTTCAGCAGGATTATACACTAAATCAAACTTGATCACTCTTAGGTCACACTTGCCGTTGGTGTCGTGCTCCTGTCATTGGGGCTGGTGGTCATGACAGTGGGCTATTCCATCCCCATTCGCATTGAGGCTTTTGGTGAGGGCAAACTGCTGTTCGTGGACCGCCAGGCCGTGCGTCACAATCGCTCGCTACACATATGTGTGCTGGTCGGGACGGGGCTTCTCGCTCTGGGTGGGGTTCTGATGTCTAACTTCTCCACAGCTCCCACAAAACAGGAAGACGCCAGAGGAGAACGGAAGGGGGGAACCAGAGTCCCGAGTGCAATGAGAAGCCCAGCAGACCCTGTAGTGAAGCCTCCCAGTCCGGTCTCTAGTGACGGAGGACTATCTCCTCTCGCTACGGACAATAAAGTTCAGCAGTGCTCGTAAAAGAGGTGTGTGACAATGCCCGTTCAAGGGTGCTGTCAATGTGATCAACAAAAGCTCCTTGTTTATTTCAATGATAAATTTGGGAGTGTCTTATTTGTGTTTGATAATTATGTGCTAAGAGAATTAAATGGACAAGTACTTGTGCCATCTGTTGTCCAGCACTTGGATAATTATTGTCAAAATAGGTTTTGTATTTTTGTATATTACAGTATTGATCAAATGAACAGCCACCAAGTGGTTGAAAGGCAGCAAAAGAAAGTTCTGAATTATTTGGGGTCAGTAAGTGTTTTTTTTTTTTTTAAAGAAATTAATACTTTTATTTAGCAAGGATGATTTCAACTGACAGAAGTATTTTACATTCTTAGCTTTCTATTCATCAATGTATCACGGTGTCCACGAAAATATGAAGCAGCACAACTGTTTTCAACATTGATAATAATAATAAATGTTTTTTGAGCTGCAAATCAGCATATTAGAATAATTTCTGAAGGATCATGTGACACTGAAGACTGGAGTAATGATGCTGAAAATTCAGCTTTGCATCACAGGAATAAATTACAATTGAAGATATATTAAAATAGAAAACATTTATTTTAAATTGCAATAATATTTCACAGTATTTGTTTTTACTGTACATTTGATTAAATAAATGCCGTCTTTGCGAGCATAAAAATCTTCTAAAAAATATTACCAAACTTTCGAACGGTAGTGTTTGTATATGAAATATAATATATTAAAAGTCATAAAAAGATCAATATTTAAAGCATCTTCTGTGCCCAGTATGCATCTTTTAAAGTGTAAAGATGATTTCAGAAAGAAAAGACCAATTACAATTCAGGATGCAAATATGCAATTACAAAACCCAATTGGAATTCAGAATTTCTGAAGGTTCTAAACACACGTTTGAATGGAGTCTGATGCTAAGTTGTTCAGGATGACTTAATTCAGGAAGAGGTTTAAAATTTAGCATTATTAGTTTAGAGCAAACCCTGTAGAGAATGTTTGTGCAATATCAATACAGCACTGCCTTGCAAACACTGTAGAAATGCCAGTCATAATAATAAACACAATCTGGCACAAACCTACTCTCACTGTCTCTATTTCTGGATCCCTGATATCTTTTTAATCAGATATTCTGCTCTTATGCATAACAAATCAGGTAATAGTTTTGTTCTCACTGCAGTTTTGTTCTTTACTCTTTCATGAGCTGCAGTTGTGTGAAAGTCTAAATGGGATTTACTGTACACAACACCGTAATTGCCTAGTCTCATTGTCTCATTACGTTAATGTATATTAATGCTCTTCTCTAAACAAGCCCAATAAATAAATGTCAGCATACTCAATCCACTTGACGTTTTGTGTATTATTATTATTTATTTATTTCTGAAAGATCATTGACACCTTTTCATTCACTGATGATGTGAATGAAAGAAAACCACACTCAGAAGGGTGATCTTGTAACAGCAGTCTCTTTTCATATTGTCTGTCAGCAGGCAGTTTGAGTGACTGTAAATAGATGCAGGAAACAGCGATGACTCATCCCAGCCCTGTTCCCTGCTTCCACTAAACCTCTTTCTCTCTCTCACGAGGGCTCGATGTGAGTCACCTTCCCTCATATAACAGTCATAGCTCACAGTACGTGGGCTGTTAACAATCAATTAACCAGCGCTCCACACGTAGAGCCATCATCAAGAATCATTCACTTTTCTGCGGCTACACGTATTCAGAAAACAAGAGTGAGATGGGAAGAAATGTTGTTTGTCTTCAGCTTTAGGTCATGTGCTTGATGCCTGTAATGTGTTGGCAGGTTGTTAACATGTTTGTTTAGAAAAGCCACACCAGATGAACACTACAGCGTGTTGAAGTGTGCCTGAGTGTGCTGAAAATATGCCCTAGCACTCAGGATGACCTGCCTATATGCATCGTTTTAATGTTGGGGATAGGGTTTAGTGGTACAGGTGTGGGTTAGTCGCTATATCAATGGTGGCAGAACATCCTGAATGTTTTTTTGTTTTTTTGTGCATGATGATGTACTCACATTTTCATAACATTTTTGCAATGGTAGTACTTTTTTTCTCCCTGAAGAGATATTTACATCAGATATGACAAACCATGAACATCATGACATATGGTCATGTGGCGGTCAAGAACCAATGAGGTTTGACATTAAAGGAATCGTTCACCCAAAAAGGTGAACTATCTTGGAAAAAGGCCATCCAAGATGTAGATGAGTTTCTTTCAGAAATGTAGCATTACATCACTTGCTCACCAATGGATCCTCTGCAGTGAATGGGTGCCGTCAGAATGAGAGTCCAAACAGCTGATAAAAACATCACAATAATCCACAAGTAATCCACATGACTCCATCAGTTAACGTCTTGTGAAGCAAAAAGATAAATGAAGTGAAAAGACACCAACATTTATTCAGAACTGTTTTGACTTGTAAACGGTGCTTGATCTGTGCATATTTCTCTCCTGATTCAGACAAGATGACTTTTTAACTGGAGAAAGCAATATTATGGATAGCCGATTCGTATTTTAGCCAAAAGCAATGATTTGAAGACAAAAACATCTTGATGGATTTGTTTATTACAAACACGCAGCTTTTCACTTCACAAGATGTTAATTGATGGACTGGAGTCATGTGGATTACCATTGACTTCCGTAGTGTGAAAAAAAATGCTATGGCTTCCAGCAACTGTTTGGATGCCAACATTCTTCAAAATATCTTCTTTTGTGTTCAACAGAAGAAAGAAACTCATATGGGTTTGGAACAACTTGAGGGTAAGTAAATGATGACAGAATGTTAATTTTTAGGCGAACAATCCCTTTAAGAGCACTGAGAAATGGCATTTTTCAGACCTGGAACAGTCCTGTGCACTTCCTGTCATGCACACACACTGACCAAGTGACCAAGAATGCAAGTGTGGGTATTGGGGCAGGCCCATACTTTGGACTTCAATTGAGGTTTGTGTTTTGGGTCCCATTGACTTTAGCTGAAACATTCTTCTTTGTGTGTGTGCGTGCGTGCGTGTCCTGCAGAAGGAAGAAAACCATGCAAGTTTGGAATGACATGAGGGTCAGTAATCAACAACAGAATGTTGATTTAGGTCATCCTGAGGAGGTAGGTCAGTTTTTCAGTACATCCGTCATTCAGGTGCTTTATTACATGTCACTGACCGACAACTCACCGTATGTGAGTTTGAGTATCTAACCTCAGACTGCATGGAGTAGAGAGACAGACGGATACATGGAGGGTCTGTGACACCAGAGAGGTCTGTTCGCTGTGTGGTGGGGGTTTGGAGAAATGAGACGAAACTGACACGCTCCATTGACTGAGCTGTGGAAAATGACTCGCTGCTCTGAGAAACTGCACACAGCAGAAATTCATTGAACCTATGAACTCTTGCCACTGGTGAGTGATGCTGATACGCTCAAGGTTTCAAACCACAATTAAGAGCTTATTGCTGTTTACCCATGAAAGACTCTAAAATGCAACATTACTAATACTTTTTTTTTTTTAAGAATGTGAGATAATTGAGGTCTCTGACACCTATTATCCAATAAGTATAACGATTAACTGATGCAATAGCATGTAACATGAACAGATACAGTGTTATACTCCATTCTTCAAGTATTTTTACATTTTTATTATGTTTAATATGGAAAATTGGGAAAAAGTTCTTATTTTCTGCTGATTTGTGACTGTCTTTAGTAATTGTGCAAACAGTAATTTGCAGTAGTACCAACTTTGGGCACACTTGACAGAAATGTATTATTATTATTATTATTATTCATTTATTTATTTTTATTGGTGGTTACCAGACAGTGAGGTAAAACAGTTAATAAATGTGAACCAGGGTTTTTATAGTTAACTAAAATGAAAACTTAAATAAATAAACAAACAAACTAACTAACTAACTAACTAGATAACTTATGGTTAAGGTTTAACTTTTTTCACTTTAACTGTTTAACTTAAATGTATTAAAATAACTAAAACTATATACATTTAAAAATATATATATAATAAAAATGACAAAACACAGAACAAAATTAAACTTAAACTGAAATTAAAATGTAAAACGAAAAAAATTTAAATAAAACTAATTCAAATATTAATAAAAAACAATTTATTTTTATTTATTTAGGTTTAAATCCTAGTATTCTAGGATGTACCTCATGTTAAAAGCAAAGGGCCTCATGTTATCTCAGTCCGTGACAGATTTAATGTTATGCAACATTTAATTCTCCCTGCTCATCAAACACAGGCAGAGAGTGAGTATACATGGTGAAGGACAGACAGACGAGATGAAATGTATGCTTTCCTAATGTCACCCTCCATATTCATATCATTATCATAATGCATGCCATAAGGATGTACATGTCTTGGGGTCGGACTGGACTAGATGTAGACGCGGTCATTCAGATTGATTGATTGTGATACTGTCATGTTATTTTATAAACTTTAGAGATTTTTGATTAGAATGTTTTATTAGCTGTTGTTGTTGTTTTTTTGGTCACTACAACTTTTTACTTTTACTTTTACTTTTAGTCATTTAGCAGACGCTTTTATCCAAAGCGACTTACAAATAAGAAAAAGTAATTAAAACTGAAAGCTAAAACTCTATAAATATTATATATATACACATTTAAGAAAATAAAAGAAATGAAATAAAAATGACAAATGCATACAACAACATTTCAAAACTAAAACATTTAAATGAAAACAAAAAAATGTGTGTGTGTGTGTGTGTGTGTGTGTGTGTAGGCTATGTATAATTCCGCTTCTGCAGGCCACAGTGTGCTGTGATCACCCGTGATGTGACATAAAGACACGCACTAACTAGACACGTTCTGGCAAGCAATCACTAGAGCTAATTCAATGTTATGCAACGATGAATGAAAATCTGACTTCACGATAAGAGCCCTGCCATCCACTGTCACCGCAAAGATACGGAAACTGTTTTTCTGCTTTTGTTTTCTGACAGCCGCATTTGAGT